CCCAGAGCAGAATATGTAAACAAATATGAAATGTAATAAAATAAAGTAAATAAATAAGTAAATAAAAAAGTAAAAAAACAAAAAAATATTTTGTTTTTCTTATTGATATTTTATGTCCAAAAGTAGTTAGTTACAAGTTAGTTGACATGTAATGCAGAGGTATCCAGGTCTGACTTTTTTGCGGCCATCGCCCCACAAAAGTAGTTAGCTTTTTTCGAACAAAATACACAGTTAATAGTTAGCACTAGTGTTCGCGTAAACAGACTAAAGTTAGGTATAAGCTAACGTCACTCCCTGCAGGGTAGTGCTGCCTACAATCAGTGGTATATTCTGAAACCCTTCAAGTAATACTCCCTTTTTATCATTTGATCCCTCTATATATCTATTTGGATTAATACCTGTAGGAAATTTTTCTTCTCTCCGATCTAAACAGAACGCTCTTAACTCAAAACTATTTATGCATACCTAATTTTTCGGTCCACAGTTTTAACATATGTGCGTATTAGGCTGTGTCATTTTTGAGCAACTTTTTTTTTCAACTAAAAAACAGGCTAAAAACTTTCAAAAAGGTGAAAAAAAGAGCCTCTAAAAATTTGAGCTCTTAATATTAGCATTAAGTGGTGCCTGTTCCTAACTTTCCATTTCACATATAAATAACATGGGAAAAAAATGTTTCGTTTTTCTTATTTTTGTAGCTTGACATATAAGCATTGTAAAAATGAACTGAACAATTATTTTGGTAGGAAATTGAACGCTCTACAAAAAAGTTCAAATTAATTTTTTTTTACAGAGTGAGCCGTTCTGAAGATATTCAAATTTAAAGTTGCAAATGTATGAAATTATGATTTTTATTTTATCAAACTAATACTGATGACTTTTTTAAGTCTTATTTATGTATTCTAGTTGTTGAAAAGTTTTTTTTTGTAATCTATAAAATAATAATTTTACTAAACCTAGTTCATAATTACTTTTGTTTAAGAGTTAATAAAATAATATCTAAGACGTATTTTTTTTTTATTTTAGCTTTATAAAAATATAAGAGCACACAAACCAGTTTACTGATTAAAAATAATTTTTAAGACATAAAAAAGTCATCAGTATCAGTTTGATAAAATAAAAATGATAATTTCATACATTTGCAACTTTAAGTTTGAATATCTTCAGAACGGCTCACTCTGTAAAAAAATTAATCTGAACTTTTTTGTAGAGCGTTCAATTTCCTACCAAAATAATTTTTCAGTTCATTTTTACAATGCTTATATGTCAAGCTACAAAAATAAGAAAAACGAAACATTTTTTTCCCATGTTATTTATATGTGAAATGGAAAGTTAGGAACAGGCACCACTTAATGATAATATTAAGAGCTCAAATTTTTAGAGGCTCTTTTTTTCACCTTTTTGAAAGTTTTTAGCCTGTTTTTTAGTTGAAAAAAAAAGTTGCTCAAAAATGACACAGCCTAATACGTATGTATACATACATGAAAAGTACCATAAGTATTATATTTGGAAGTAATAGCAGTAGAGATCAGTGAGTTAAGCTTACCTTATCCACTTGGGCCAGTAGTCCCTCCTGACTGCTTTGACGCGTCGTTTCACGCACCAGCTCCTTTGCGTGCGAGGCGAAGTTCTCAAAAAGTGATCCCTGTGAACCTTGACGCCCTGGACTGCTTGAGCTTGAACCAGAACTGCCGGTGCGTGCGAGAATGTTGGAGACTGGTGCTGTTATTGGGGGCTTTATAAAGTATTTAAAATAAGAACATTAAATCAAAATATTTTTTAAACTTTAACTATGAAAATACTTACTGGACGTTTCTTTTCAACACCTGCGTGCTCCATTTCACCGGTATGTCTGTGTTGGTGTTGTTGCTGTTGTTGTTTGTGTGCCAACACTGGCGACTTTTTAGGTTCTCCCGACTCTGTGGCTTCTTTATCAACACTTGCTGCTCTGATTGTTGCCTCCAGGCGTATTGCGGCTGGTGCAGCTAAATCAAAGGGGCCTGCAGTTTTTGCTGGGAATTCAAATTCCGAATCACGACTGGGGGAACTCAGATCGGAACGACTCGACGACGACGATAGTGGCGATTCAGCACGTTGATCTTCTTCATCTTCGTTAACTTCTACTTTGTGCGACATACTTTCCGGGTATTGTAGAGTACTTGGTGGATGATAAACTAATGCTGGATCTAGATTTGATGAAAGCGTTTGCGGCACATTATGTGGGCGATTGTGTGCACCAAAAACATCGTGGTTACTCGGCGACAGGTCTGAAGACACCATTTCCGATACAAAGTCACTCAGCGAGGAATAAGAGGAACTTGAGCTTTCAGCACCCTCGGAGTCGGAACCACTTTCATCCGTTGGCTGGCATTCGAGTTGTTTCAGTGAACGGAGTGCACCATTTAGTGAGCTGCCATCATCCCATACGGAGAACCGTATAGGGGTAAGCTGGTGAGCAAACCATTTTGGCTTATCCCCAACCTGAGCTGGATCCATCACGCCTGTTTGTACGCGCAAAAAGGCAACATTAGTTGGGGTCAGTGACCATTCAGCAAGGAACTCTACGGCCTGTGTGCGTGCGAACTGATTGAGGAACTGTGAAGCACGTGGACGTGAGCGTAGGAAACTGTTGATCTGAAAGGCGACCACGGGACGTGGATAGAGGCGCAATGTGCGAGTATGCTCGGCAAAATTGGCGAGAGTATTTTGGGCATTAAAGAACCGAACCTTTAAGGGAAGATAATTTAGATTAAAGGAAGATTTCTGAAACGAAGACAGCGCTCCTATTAAATACCATTGCAACTCGCGTAGCGACGTCAACTGAGTCGACATCCGTGCCATAAATAAATGGATTCAATGCTGGTGAGTTCATTGGGCTGGGTTGCCTTGAGTGGCTGCCCTGCGCCGACATTGAGCTGCGTTGGCTTGCGTACGCGGACTGTGTGGGCGACTGCAGTGGCAAGCGGACTTGCGAAACCCTTTAAGAGTTTGAATATGAAACATAATTTCAAGAAATTCGTTAAGAAATCGAAACTCACCCTAGAAGTGTTGGTTCTGTAAGGCTGTCGCGTACCGACGGCATAAGTTGTTGTGCAGATATGGCCTGATTGGAAGCCGACATAGAAGATAGCGCCTGGCATTACAATAATAAAAGGCATTAATAAACGAGTAATTTCTGCATATTTATAAAGGTTTTAATAGCATTAAGTACAATCGGGAAATTATAAAATTTTGAGCAATGATGGAACTTAATAAAATGAAGCAACAAGAACATTACGAAATCAAAATCTATGATTCTTCTTAAATATGCATAGATTCGCATGCAATGCCATATATATGTTTGCGAACACATTCTGACATGTTTTTACGATATACATATGTATGTATGGTTGATAAAGAAAGAATAGGGGATATTCGAGATGAGTGATCTGAGTTTCATTTTAAGTGAGGAAGAATGGGAAATTCAAAACTGTCATAAAACCATAATTGAGTATAGAGTATTCTTGGTAACTTATATAAGAAAGAGAGTAAGAGACGGACAGAAGTGATGATAAAACATACATGAACTTACACATATAGCACACGAGGGGTTGTTGAAGTTCAGATCTACGAGCTCATAACGCAGTGAACTGGCACGCAATGGCTCATTTCACGAATGTGCCGGCAATCACTGGGCCTTGAATTCGATGTTTAAAGCTAAGTAGTTTTTCCAAACATGAATCGTCGCAAGTTAATGGTGAAAATATATTTTGAGCTCACCGGTCGATATGACTTGGAGTATACTTGTAAATAAAGTGTCAATATTTCTGAAAGTTGGGCGTAGATAGATAGATAGTTAGGTACAGCACTGCGACCGGTAGGTGTAAAATACACCCCTTAGCTCATCACAACACCTCGACTAGCCCTAGAGACTATAAATTTCATAATAGACCCCGGGGATATTGATTGTATGAGCTCCTCTCTTGTCCACAGGCGCTCTATTCTCCTATCCCTCCTGCGTGCAACGGCCACACACTCTATAAGAAGGTGTAATGGAGACCCACGGTGTTAAGCCAGTTGCAGTTCCCTCAGTTTGGTATTTTCCTTTCCGAGCATTTCCTTAGTAGTGGTGGGTCTCACTGCACGGAAAGGCTTAGGTCCTATCGGGGTCGCAGGGGATTGAAGTCGTCTTTTTATAAGTGTAGGTCCTGAAGTTTCTCTTCAAGACCACCTCTCTGTTAATGTCGACCCTGGGCAACACAAAGCTAGGGGGAGGTAGGTACCTAGCTTATCGCTCTTTCTAGATGATAAAACCAGCTTTATATCTGTAAAAGAACATTGTAAAAAAAACATTATAAATAATATATTTTCTGAATACGCGGGTAGCGTGTTGAAGACTAAAGGGAAAAAAACACCTTGCCTTCGCCGAATCCCTCTCTCGCAAAGTTAAGAAGAGTCCGCTTTGCAGCCTGCTCTACTGAGAGATGCAGTGGCTCGAGTTCCAGCATTACCTTCAGCACTGCCGTCAGACATATGTGCATTGCTCACGTGATGAAAACACATGACAGAGGTTGAATCTTAGAGAGGGTCTACCTCATCGTTCCCAGGGTAGTCCTGGAACCCCAAGCCACCGTACCATATGTCATTATCGGTCTCACTATCACGGTGCACATCCATCTGAGGATCCTCGGAGTGCACCCCAGGGTTTCCCGTTAGACTTTTACACGCCATCATCGCTTTCGTAGCCTTAGAGGTGACCGCATCATCATGAGCGCTCCACAGAAGCTTGGAGTCCAGGGCAAGCCCCTGACACTTTACCTCTGTGGCGACATTGATTACGACCCCACCTAAGGTCAAGCTCCTCGTCCCCTGGAGATTTCGTTTCTTGGTGAAGGGGACCATAGCTGTTTTAGAAGGGTTCATATTTAAACCTACGTCTGCACACCACCTTTTTGCAAGGTTGAGTCCTCTTTGGACGATGTCGCAGAGAGTACTTGCGAACTTCCCTCTAGCGATGATCACTATGTCGTCCGCAAACCCATGGCATCGGACGCCCTCATTAGTATCTGCAGAAGTTGGGTACAATATACACGAGTCTTCTCTGAGAAGCTCTTTTATGGAGTTTGTCCTGTCGGCCAGCATTTCAAGCTCTTCGCACTGGTGTATTCCGGCCTCTCCCTTCTTATTACAGCAGGTACGTCTCGCATCCATCCCTAGCTCCCCATAACGGTGCCGCATAGCTCGCGTTGCGCCTGATCGAAGCATGGCTCTTTAGGCAGACACTTTTTCTCTGTTCCTGCGTAACATCCCTCATAGTACCAGTGGCTCTCGCTGAAATCCAACTACTTCTTCGGCGGCGGTACTTCATGATCGGGAAATGGAACCACGTATGTCGGATTGTTGAAGAGTGCTCTCTGAGAGCAGGTGATAGAGTCGAGTGGTGAATAAATTAACCGTCTGTTGTGATTGTAGCTTTTCAACGTAGAGCTTTTCTTGTATTATTGGATGCACATTTTTTTGCTGCACACAGGCGGATACATATCTTGGCCGAGACTATGTTTGAAACTCGGAGTTTACTTACTTGAGGCGTGCGTTTCTCCGATCACAACATGGTTTCATGTTATTTGATGTGGAGACAGTCATGTAGCTTTATGGTTAACACAAATTCTGATCGCTAAGCGACAGTCAGTGGCCTAAGCTGATTCATGGTACGTTAGAAAAGGCAGGGAGGGGCGGGTGGCTGAATTCTTTCTCTATACCATTAAGTTTCTTCCCTATCAAGCTAAATTGGCTTTCAGAACACAGGAATGTCACGGAAATCCGCATGGTCAATGAGGGCGCTCTTGAGAATTGGGATCCACTGGCTACGTGTGGTTTTCTTCTGAACAGAAGGGGTTTTAGTCATCTCAGTGAACGGGTTAAGAGAGTTCATAAAACCGGTCTAGGGCAAGACACATGTCTCATTGCTGGTGACGTGGAATCATCTCAATATCTGGATTTCATTTGTCCAGCTTTCACGGGTTTAAGGTTCCTCACCTCGAGAAGCTTTGGGGAATATAGATCAGCTGCTTTTAGAGTTTCGTTGTTATAACGGAGCGTTTTGACGTCTAAAAGACGTCACCATCCTTTCCCTATATTAATATAAAAAGCAGTTAGTTTAGTAGTCTGGGTACGACTTCACCTATAGGGGCACCCATCCTAACCTAGTATAACCTAGTTTTGCCGCTTGTTCACCAAACGGCCTCGTTCACTAACTACCGAAGAGAGTTTCTGTTCTTACTTGTCACAATTTGAATAAGTCTCTTCGCCTCTACAGACTCTTGTGGAATAAAATCTCATCTTATAATCTCTCTCAAAGCCTAATAAAGAAAAAATAATTATGAAATTTTTGCTACGTGCAGCCCACACACATACATATGTGTATAAAGTATCAGTGATAAAGTATACATCTATTAAATATAGACCTGTGGTTATAAGAACATAACATAACATGTGTTTTTTAAGAAAAAAATCTAAATGAACATGAAAATGAAGTTAAATTGTTAAAAAAAAAGTTAATTCAATGAACGTCTAATGCAAACAAAAGACTTTAAATCTCTTTTTATTGTTTTGTCTGGCATAAAGTACGGTAATTTAAACGTGAATTAAGTCGTTCAAGTATAACTACGGACTAAATTTTTTTAAACAACGAAAAAGTAAGCATATATGTATTTTAACTAGGTGAAAACTCATGCCAACTGAAAAATGGGTTAGTAAATGAATTGTTCTTTTTTTTTTGTAAGTGTTAGTGACAAATAAAAGATATTTACACCAAGTCCAGCTTCATCCATAAGTTGCATAGCCTGTGTTCATGTAATGAAATTTCGAAAAGAAAAGAGTTTGTATGAGAATAGTCAACGTTGTAATTGTACATGCAGTTATGTAGTGAATGAGATAGTAGTTAGTAATAGTAAGTAGGTAGTAGCTTGGCGAAATGGGAAGAGAGCATAAGCAGCAAAAGTCTAGAAGCAAAATTCGTATGCATATGGAGTACTTTGAAAGTTCCAAGCGCGTTTAAAAATTGCAAAGCTTTAAGAATAAGCGTTGAAGTTGAATATGAAATTGACTTAAAAAATAAATTTGATGAGCAAAAATTTTTCATGAAATTTGATGAATAAAAATATTTTTGTAAAAGGAAAACAATTAAATCGAATATTTAAACCACTAAAATAATGAGTCAATAAAAATTTTAGGTTATGAATTTTGTACATATGCATGTTCAATTAAAAAAGTAAACAATTAAAAAATTGCATTTTAATTATACCCGAATAAAGATATATTATACAAGCGCTTAAGCTTAATAAGTATATTTTTTACTTAATCATTTAAATTTCCTTTCAGTTATTGTGTCATTAAAAGTATTATTCAAAAATATTTAGAAAATATCCAATGGTTCGTAAAAGTAACTAAATTTATCGGTCTGCTACCCCCACTTTGCGTTATCTTCAATGCACTTACTTGTTTCAAGTGATTCTTGAGTATGGTGCCCTCAGGTTCTGGCAATGGTGGAATTTCGTCATAGCCTCCTGTAGGCGGTGTCAATTTTGTTGAGTCCAAATCCACCACCCAGATATCATCCGGCAACCTATTTGTTCAAATGTCAATATTAAACATTACGGTTCTCCAACAGCCAACCACTTACCGAAAGTTTTTCTTGTACATTAGGAATGTTGCTGGCACACCGATCACGAAAGGTGTCGGTGCCAGCAACAGTTGTTCGGCGCAACTCAAACATGTCGGCAGTAGCGGTATCACGGGGAACATATACTCCAATGGATAGAGCATCGTGACGAACGCCATTACCGACATGGAGAGCGCATTATAATCGCGTGACTGAAATAGTACTTTATTTTCCAACATTATCAGCGTCCAGACTTTAAGACACGTCTCTACGCCTAACAACTCAAGCGGCAAGTGTAATGGGAAGTCGACGAGCGAGAAACGCGTGTGATCTGGCAGCGCAAAGAGCAGAGGTTCGTGTACTGTAGGCGACAACACCTCAACCTGCAAGAGAGAAAGAGAAATAGGAACACACATTGTACTAATAATGTCATTGAGTGCTTGAATACAGAATAATACCTCAACGCGCGTGGAACCAGGTACAGGTACTGGTGTGGACAACAGCCGCAAGATCCATGTTTCGATCTCGCGCACATCGTGCAACACGATGGATGAGGTAGCCTCTGTGGCATGTCCCGTGAGCACCGTCCACACATTGTCACGATTTAGCTTTTGCGAGGCACCCAAACGCTTTGGCGACGAGGACTCGTTGCAGGCGTCGATCAGCTTCTTTAGTATAAATAAACACTCGCGAAACGTTGAAAAAAATGGGTGATGTGAGATGATACAGAGCGAAGTTAGCGACTGATTTCGCAGCTTCGTGCGTTTTCGTGAGGCGCGTGGCGATGGCGAATGGCTACCGCCCGACTCGGAGTCCGCAGACGGTGCCATTAAACCCAGCTTTGGCACCTGCTGTTGTAGATTATGTTGCTGTTGTTGTGTGTGACCATAAGACGATGAATGGTGGTGATTCGGTGGATCCGAATCACGACGTGATGTCATTTCACGATCCGAATCACTAGGAGCGACGTTACTTCTGTAGTCGCTAGAAGAAGTTAAGAGGCCGTAACTATTACAAAAAATACGTCGTTTAGCATCATGTGAGTTAATGATTAACGAATTTGATTGATTAGATTGGTTTGCTTTGCTGTTGCTGTTGTCAAAACTGTGTTTGCTTGTGCTGGGATGAGTTTGAGAGTGAGAGACTATAGAATCAACTTGCCTACTAAATGCAGAATCCGAGCTGCGTTCCATGCTCTTTCGCCAGGACTCACGTCGAAAGGCGGAGCTGTGTCGCCCTCGTTTGCTTTGTGCCAGTCCAACAGCGCCATGGTTTGCACTATAGGCGCCTCGTTCTGCATTAGCTGAATGCCGTTCTATGGGCCGGTAGAAATTTACACAGATGCCATATCGGGTCTTTCCCGAATCCTTGTCAGTGAGCGCAAATACAAAGGATGTCATATCGCGAATGGCGGACCCAGTTCGGCGGGGTCCTACACTAGTGCAACCCTCGGGTTGGCAAAAGTATACCATGTCAAGGGGAAGTGGAAAGTCGGTATGATCCGTTGGTGGATATCGACGCAACAACTCAGGAATCTGAAATAAGATAAGTATTGCTTGTTAAAAAAGACTCACGATATATGAGTATATATGTAAATATCATCAAAATATAGATCCGGCTTGCAACATGGCTGATTTTTATGGCAAAATTTATTTTCCGAGAGATTGACTCTCGTTTTTTATTTATTTCACGCGAATATAAACCGAAACCCTTTGACTGATTGTTATATACATACCTACCCACTCATTCTGCTATATCGGTTTGAAAACCAATTATACTACAAATTGTGTTATATTTATTTTGCTTACGAACACAAAGCTACCTTATTTTCACTTCCCACATATTTTAAAGCTCAAGCAAAGAAGCGCATTAAGAAGATTTGCCGTAAAGGTAGGTGAATCTTCACGAACGAGGAGTTTCACTTTTTATTGATTTACTGAATTATTTTTTCAATATAAATATCGAAAATGGAGAAAATGGCCATACAATGTTCTGTTTAAGATGTTGTGGTATAAAAGCAGGCGCTTTATTAAACGAGCGGCTGATCTTGTCGTAACTTCATTCGGAATCAACAGAACCTAATTTTGCAGCCGTCAAATTCATTTATTCCTGCATATCGTGAAAAAAATCTTGCCCGTACGATTCCTCGAAGAAAGGAAATTCTTATTAGCTTCTACCTCTTCCACGTACTTGAAGCTTCTACAGGAATCGTACCCAATAAGGCTCTGTCAAATTTTACCATCAGACGTTTTTCTCAAGTACTCGCTTGCTTCTCCATTTCTCGAAACACCACGCTGTCCCGGAATGAAGTCGAGATAACAATGAGTTGTCTAAGAGCTTGTAATAATCTTCGCCATTCCTCAACACGCCTCGAATTTTCTAGTCAAAAGCCTTGATCCATCTATGTACAACCAAGGTGAGTTTTGAGGGGAAAAATCCTCTATGCTTACCAACTATGCCGTCATGATAGATGAAGATAGGAATAGCTTAAAAGTCTGTGAGCTTCCGTCAATGAACGTTGCTGAGAGAAGATGATTCATTTGTGCAGATTTGAATCTCCTTGTTGCTGTGAACGGTTTCATTTTCGGGAAGTGAAACTTGAAGTTGTGGTCAAAGTAAATCTCCATTATCTGATAGCCACAGGCTCTCTCTCTATCTACGTATGTACATCTGCAGCCTGTTAGCCTGTAAGCTCTTTGATTCAGAATATTTAAGAAATATGTCTAATAGGGTGCCCATCGAAAATGCTTTTTTTTGGAAATTTCAAGACCCTACCCCATAATTTTATATGTTTTTATGAGAAATATTATTTCCTATTTTTATAGACTTTTTAAACGTCATTTAGAGATCGCTACTTGTCGATTTAGGCCAGAAAATACGATTTTGTAGATTTATGAGTTTTTGAGTGACTATTTTTGATTCGATTTCAAAAATCGAATATGATCTGAGAAGAGGATATATAGGTCTTTAAAATGGTATATACAAATTCATTGTCGGACTTGGCTTGTTGGGATTTTTATCTGGTAAAATAAAAAAAAATAAAACATATTTCTCTTAATTTTTAAAATTTTGGCCATCGATAATTTCAACAATTTCAAAATATGTAGTACTATCTAAAATTAANTTAAACGTAAACATAAACATAAACGTAAACATAAACATAAACGTAAACATAAACATAAACATAAAAAACGATGAAGACAAAGGTGGGGAGGAAGAAAGTGATAGGGATAAAAATGGAGATACAACAGAAGAATGTGCGATGATATGGTATGTTATGCTACATACATATGTTATGTTATTTAATTTTATGTTATGGTATTTTATGTTATGCTATGATTTATTATGTAATGCTATGTACTAAGTTAAACTCCCCTCCACTTAACCCATTCCAACTAATGTTATTTCACCTCAACTCAAATTACATAAACTCCCCTTAATTTTAATGGATTAATTTCAACCACTGGGCGAACACTAGTATACTTACATACTCATGTCAGCTTTAGCAACCTTTACAAGCTGAGCATACGCTATTTGGTATCAAACGCCTTCCACCAGAGGTGAGAATAGGTCTTGCCATTGCTGAATACATACGATGTATTTAACGTGACCAACCGTACTTCTTTGGTAAGTACTTGCTTCTTTTTTCGCTCTCGTAGTTCATACTTCGAAGTACAGTCAAATGCACTTCTTTGCAATACCTTGTACTTCAGGAGGGAGCTTTTGTAACCAGTTAGCGACAGTTTTCGGATCGCTATCGCACTTTTTGACACATGATATAAACGTTTTTGTGTCACAAAGTGCTATAGCGATTCGAAAATTGTCGCTAACTGGTTTCAGAATCTCTCCCCAGGTCCTGTACTTCTCCGATCTTCTGGACTATCGATAGCGATTCGAAAATTGTCGCTAACTGGTTTCAGAATCTCTCCCCAGGTCCTGTACTTCTCCGATCTTCTGGACTATCGATAGCGATTCGAAAATTGTCGCTAACTGGTTTCAGAATCTCTCCCCAGGTCCTGTACTTCTCCGATTTTCTGGACTATCGTTACGTGGCCTGGGCGATAAATTCGTTCAAACCATTAAAGTCGCCGGGGACCGATGGCATCATACCTGCGCAGCTGCAAAGGCCTCTGAAGGTGTCGTGCAATTGGTTGGATCCTATTTATGCGAACTGCGTAAGGACCGGGGACATCCCCAAGGCTAAGAGGGTAGTCAGTGTTGCGATCATCCCGAAGGCCAGAAAAGGCGCACATGTTCCCATCATGGTTGCCACAATTGGTAACTTTCTACCAAAATTGGTAACTTTTAAACGGTTTGGTAACTTGGTAACTTTTATTTCATTTTGGTAACTTTTGTAACTAAACATCTAACTGCATTACTAGAAAGAAATGAATTATGTTTTGAATGTGCGTAATTATAAAAACCCTTCGAGTTTCAGTGGCAGCACTACTGACACTTCTACAAAATTACTTCGATTAAATTAGAGTCATCTCATATTCGAATACTGGAAATATTTGAATTACAGTGGCAGCACCAAGGGCTGCACTTTTAAAACAACTTTCGAATTTTTGCGATAAATTTTGAATTCTACCCTCTCACATTTTAATACTGGCCATCTGGCAATTTTTGGTAAGGTCCATAAATCGTTTTAATTTTTCCGGCAAAAAAATGTTGCGTGCTTTTTACCAGACCCATCTACCGACATGTATTTCGACGTACAGTAAATTATGAAAAACCGAAAAAATAGCAAAAAAATTAGCAATTTTCGCAATTTACTCGAAATTTTGTACAAGTCAAACGAACGGTTAAAAGCACCCGCCACTTTTTTTGTGTGCCGGTGCTATTATTCCGTGAGTCGCAGGTCCAAGTGTCGGCAAATTCCGAAAGAAAAATTACACTGAAAATGGCACAACGCCGAAACCGATTTGTCTCCAAACCAAATTTGACATATCATACTACATACATTACATCATACTACATACATACCTACCCTGTCGGAAACACCAACAACGAAAATGAGAATAACGGCACATGCAGTAATTAATTGATAGAAAAATATTTTCTAATAAAAAAAAATTATNAAAAGCACCCGCCACTTTTTTTGTGTGCCGGTGCTATTATTCCGTGAGTCGCAGGTCCAAGTGTCGGCAAATTCCGAAAGAAAAATTACACTGAAAATGGCACAACGCCGAAACCGATTTGTCTCCAAACCAAATTTGACAAGGGACGATGGAAAATCGTTCCACATTACATCATACTACATACATTACATCATACTACATACATACCTACCCTGTCGGAAACACCAACAACGAAAATGAGAATAACGGCACATGCAGTAATTAATTGATAGAAAAATATTTTCTAATAAAAAAAAATTATTGTAATTGTCAATAGCATTTTCAATCTTGATAATTTATCAAGGAAATAGATCTAAACTTTTGTGCTTTTGTGTTTTTGTGTGGGGAGTTCTTGATAAATTATCAAAAATTGACATATTATAAAAATACTAGCAGACCCGGCGAACTTCGTCCCGCCCAAAAGTAATTTTTTGTATTGAAACATTTTGGTACAACATTTTCACCAACAGTTCACGTCCATGATTTTCAGTGACGCGTTTATCTTCTAATATTACGGTTTGGTGGTTGTCGGAAGGCATATTTCCATTACCATCTTAAATAACCTAGCAAAATTGTATATGCATACAAAGATATGTAATAGCTTCAGTACCGTTTGAAAGGCGCCACACCCCCCTTATAAAATAGCCGAAATTTTTTCTAAGAGTATGGGAGTGATTTCTCATATTTCCATACCATGTTCAAGTACTCTACCATGAACACTTCCAGAGATATGCAGTGTGAAATATTCGGTTTGCATGGGAGGTGCCACGCCCCTTTTTCCAATAAGCCAAATTTTTCTTCATGACTATGCGATTGATTTTATATGTCTTGTACATACCAAGTTCCAGTACTCTACCATGAACACTTGCAGAGATATAAAGTGTGAAAAATTTGGTTTGTATGGGAGGTGCCACGCCCCCTTCACTTAGCGGTATGAAACATACTTTACACCCTATTGTCATACCTACGAAATATACATAAAAAATTTCATTCAAATCGGTTAAGCCGTTTCGGAGGAGTTCGACCACAAACACCGTGACACGATATTTTTATATATTAGATTTTTCATACAAAAATACCAAAAGATCTAAAAGAAAAAAA